CTCTCTCCTCCTCTCTCTCTCTCTCTCTCTCTCTCTCTCTCACTCTCTTATAATTCATTATAATTTAGCATTTGTTCATATAATGTAATCATGTTGAAATTTTTATCGAACTTGTTGCTGTTGTTGTTGTTGTTGTTGTTGTTGCTGCTGCTGTTGCCTATACATCGTATCATAAACTCGTGGATCACGTTGATCTAGGTAATACATTTGGTCTCGTCTCATCTGAGGTGAATAGGCGTAATTTGATGGTAAAGTTGGATAAACAGTTCGTGTATCATACTAAAATAATCATTAAATATAATACTACAAAGGATGATAAACTTGAAAAAATTTCAAACGTTTTACTAATTTTGCAAAAATTTTTCTCAATTAAAATGTATAATTTAAATTTTTTCTAAAAAAAATTTTTAACATATTGAATTTAATTTGGAAATCTTTAATTTATAACACTTAATATTAAAAAAAATGAAATTTAAACGATAGTTTGATTCAAATATTTCATACTGTATTTATATGAAAATATGATGTGATATAATTAAAAATTACCTGTTTATCGCCATCAATAATATTACCAATATTTCGATTATGCATACGTTGGAATTTTGCTATCATTATCATAACTAATGATATCTGAAATTTAAAATTTCACAATGATTCATTTCATTCATATTCCTATGCAATGATAACATAATCATTATCATCTTCATGACATAATATATGATTGACAACCCTGCTTTCCCTCCGGGGTAATATCAGTTGCCACTGATAAGTTGCTAAATCGCAAAACAAAAGAATGCGACATCATATATGATTAAAAATTTTGCCTCCGTTTCAGTATTATTTGCTTGTTAAAACTTATCAATGATATTAGTTGTTAAATTTAACTGATAAGTTGCTAAATTACTATAATCAGGAAAACTTGTTTATCTCCTTGATATTGTTCGCTTGTTAAGACTTGCAAGCGATATATCAGTAATTAAATCAAACCAATGAGTTAAGACTTGTAAACGATATATCAGTAATTAAATCCAACCAATGAGTTAAAACTTATAAATGATATATCAGTAATTAAATCTAATCAGTGAGTTAAAACTTGTAAATGATATATCAGTAATTAAATGTAATTGATGATTTGCTAAATCGTTCGAATCTTTTTTTCTCATTTTTTATATTAATCATTCCCTAAATCTTCAAATAAGTTAAAAATTCCATTTCCTATTAATTTTTTTATCGATTCTATCATTTCTGCTTTTTTTCCTTTCATTTTTGCATCTTTTTTTTTCTCCCCCTTTCTTTCTCCCCTCTCTCTCTCTCTCTCTTCCTCTCTTTCTCTCTCAATAATTGCTATTTTCA